CCCCCCCCCCCAAATCCCACCAGCCCCCCCTACCTGATAAAAAATGAACGGTCCCTAACATGGAGGGGCCAGGGCAAGAGATCCAAGCAAAGTTTGTTACTGGGAGATTAGTACAATGGAATCCTGTCTTATGGCCACGCTAATACAGCCACCTCAATATTATGTACAGCCACTTTATTCTGGCCAAAGCAAAGCTTATTCAGTCATTTTCTTATTTATTATGGCCTGTTGATGACTGGATCAACAGGGTTCCACTGTACTCCAGCCTGATCCAAACCCTCATCCTGTTATGTACAATTTGGGATAGAAGGGGTACAAGTATATCATATACCTTTCATAGAAAATGATACAGTCCCCCTTCACCTATATTGTACTTATGGGACGAAGAATTTCCTCAAAATACTTGGATGCACTAGCCAGGGAGCAGGTATGAAGCTGTGCTGAGAGCACCTGCCTTCCACCAATTTGGCCTGGGTTCAATTCCAACTTGCTGCCATATGTGGGTTGAGTTGGTTGTTGGTTCTTGCCTTGCTGTATTGATGTTATAAGAAATGAAACATGTCAAGAGCATCAAGCCATCATGGTAAAGTCTGTGATGGGTTATGACAATTACATATGTACACAAAATGTGTTTTCTGATCATAGTCCAAATCCAGAGAGAGCAGGCGATCTGAAGGAAAGTTATGACTCAAGAGACTTCTTTGAAGATGACTATGTAAGTTGCGCATGTTGTAAACTTGCCATGAGGTGTAGTTCCAGAAAATATCCATACCTCTCCCATGGAAGGGATTTTTTTCCAAGATCCCCCACCCCTCTTGAAATTCCAATTAAGCTTGATACATTTCTCTAAATGTTTTGATCTTATAGAATGCCCCCCCCCCTCTCAGGAAATTCGAATCTCCTCTGGGGGGGATTAATGGATATTTTTCTGGAACTGCACAATGGAGATCTGTTTAAGGACTGTCTTGGAAACTGTTCTTAATGACTGGGGCTTCAGTGGGAGGTCGGAGGTGGGACGTTCTGTGGCCAAATGGTGCCCAGGATAATTTTCAGTTTTTAAAGTACAGGCTTGTTGAGCCCAATGTTGTGTTATTGGACAAGAAGTACTGCTTGACATAATTTGAAAGTGCCTCTCACCAGATCCAGGTGTAACAAATGGGTTCCAACAAATTAATCATGCAGTAGGGTTTTCCTACAGTTAAAGACGTAAAGTGGACGTAAAGTGTAAGTCTGCAGGCTTTAAATATCATGTTTTCAGGAGGGGAACTTGAGATATCAGATAAAGGGACTTTGCAGGGGAGAGTGCATGTAAGAAATTAAAACAACATGTAATAACTGGTCTTCAAATTATAGAAATTCAAACACATGACGAAAAAAGAAGTACCTTGTGATCATGAAAGGATTGCAATAAAATATATTGTGACAGTAATAATGTAAGGGAGACTTTATGATTGGAATTAAGAGTTAGAATACAAGCCTGAGATATTTTTAGGGAGTAGTCAACATACAGACATAGTGACCTAGAAAGCCAAAAAACAAAATTGACTAGTCTGATTGTTTCAATTGACACAAAAACTGCTTTGACAAATTGTGGTAAGCATGTTGGGATAAAATGCTTCGCAAAGTTTGAAAAGATTCTGAAGGAGGGGGATGGGCGAGGGGGTTCGGAGCCACCTTAAATTTTCAAAAGTTTGAAATGGTTTGAGCCCCCTCTATATATTATTTATTAAAACTTGGCACTTCGATAAAGAGGAGTCTCACTGAACTGTTTTTAATTAAATGTATTTAGAGTGAACATTAAGGGTTTTATAACAGTTTGTATTGTTGCTATTAATAATGGTAATTGAACTGAGTGGAGTGCAATTTGGTCTGAAATCATACGCGTGATTTCAAAATCGAACAAGCGCGCAGCGCGAGTGCGATTTGAAATCACAAGTATGATTTCAGACCAAAATTGCACGACACGAAGTTCGATTGCCACTTTATTAGATCCATTTTGAAATCGCACGGTTTTATCGCCTTAATTTTTAGACTTTTGGTGTATTGTTCCAGTAGCCGGTTTGTTAAAAAAAAAAAAAAAAAA